TTTGAGACAGTCTCACTATGTAGTTGAGACTGACCTGGAACTCACTATCTAGCCCAGGCTGGTCTCGAACTCAACAGTGATCCTCCTGCCTCAGCCTCCCAATTGCTGGGATTACAAGAGTGCGCCACCACGCTCAGCTCTGTTTTCATTATTTTTTGAGACGGGGTCTTGCTATGTAGCTCAGGCTGGCCCTGAATTCATGTAGTCCAGGTTGGCCTTGAACTTCCAGGATCCTCCTGCCTCAGCCTTCCCAATACTGAAACTATAGGTGTGTACCACCATGCCTGGCCCAGTCCCACCCTTCATGTATATACCAAGAGAAGGGCCAAGACTGGGGGACACATGTGCCATAGTCACACAGCCAGTCAGCCTTAGGCCTCCCAGTCTCCCACTCTGCCTGCAGCATATTGTTTCCAACTTTGCAAAAGGCAAAGGACGGGGGACACGTTTCTGAAGCCTGGGGGAAGTGGGCCATCACGGGCAAGGCCAGGCCTGGCTTATGGAGAGATCCTCCTCCCTCCACTTCTCTCCTCTTACCCCAAAATAGCTCCCTGAGTCCTAGCCAAGACCCTCCCATGGGGTGGGGGGTGGGGCATGCTGCCCAGAGCCTGGCTTTAAATCCCCTCAGAGCTTGGGAGCTCCACTCCCTGGTTGGAGGCACCAGCACCGAGGCAGTCCCTCTGTCCACTTGTCCGTCAGTCCGGCCCACCCTCCCGCAGCCATGTCCCGGCCTCTGTCAGACCAGGAGAAGAGAAAGCAAATCAGTGTTCGTGGCCTGGCTGGCGTGGAGAATGTGACTGATCTGAAAAAGAACTTCAATCGGCACCTCCACTTCACACTGGTCAAGGACCGCAACGTGGCCACTCCTCGAGACTACTACTTTGCGCTGGCCCACACTGTGCGCGATCACCTCGTGGGGCGCTGGATCCGCACACAGCAGTACTACTACGAGAAGGACCCCAAGGTGTTGCAGGGTGGGGAATGGGCTGGTGGGGGTTTCTGGCGGGGAGCTGGGAGATCTTGTCCAAGTGGCTGCTCCTTCCTGGAGCCCAGGGTTTCTGCAGAAAAATGAGTGAGTGCTCCAGGGCCTTGGAGTTGGGGGATCCTGGGGTTGCCAGGAGCAAGGGTTGCTAGGGCAACCAAGGGGGAGAGACCTGACTGGGAGAGGGGTGCTGAGGGCTTGTGGGCTGCTTGGAAAGGCCCAGCTCCTTAGAAAAAGGAGGGCTGTTGGTGGCCAGGAAGACGCTTGCAGCCTGGTTTGGACCTGGGGTAGAGGGATGTGTCATCAAATGTATGTGTGGCATGCCTGCCACGGGTGGGGTGAGGCTGGGGTGGCAGGGATCAAGTGTCTGGTGGGGTCAGTCGTAAATGTCAGCAACCTAACACCCCATAGCAGCAGTGGGGAGGGGCTGGGAGGGGACCCAGGAAATGGGGAGGCCAGGCACTTGAGCATCCTCAGGTCAGCTGTCTCTCCATCCCCTTGTTGGGCCTTAAGGCTTGAGGGCAAAGAGGACCTGAGCACTTCATGGACAGGAGATGGCAATCTCTAGCCCTGAGTCATTGTAGGGGTGGCAGCTGCCGCGGGTGGGGTGAGGCTGGGGTGGCAGGGATCAAGTGTCTGGTGGGGTCAGTCGTAAATGTCAGCAACCTAACACCCCATAGCAGCAGTGGGGAGGGGCTGGGAGGGGACCCAGGAAATGGGGAGGCCAGGCACTTGAGCATCCTCAGGTCAGCTGTCTCTCCATCCCCTTGTTGGGCCTTAAGGCTTGAGGGCAAAGAGGACCTGAGCACTTCATGGACAGGAGATGGCAATCTCTAGCCCTGAGTCATTGTGTGACCTTGAACAGGGCTTTTTTTCCCCTGGGCTTTGCCCTCTTAGGAAGCACTTGGACATGCTTATCTATGTCCTGATCCCCTGATGGGTTGTTGAGGTGTGTTTGTGATAGAAGGGGACCCCTTCTCTCCTGAGCACCTCATCTCAAGGCAGTTCTGGCCAGCCCCTTTCTCTAGACGGGGAAATGGAGGCCAGAGAGAAAAGGCATTTGTCCAAAGTTAGGAGAATGTTGGGGCCAGGCCTTTTACCTGTTGAGGTTTCTGACTTCTAAGGTGGTTCCTCTAGGTGGGGAGAAAAACATGTCACAGAAAGGACATGCTGGAGTGGGGCAGGAGATGGAGAAGAGGTTCAGGCCTAGCTGGGCCTGGCTAATTGTCCAATGGGAGGCCTTGACACCACTTCCCTGTTCATTTGCCTGTTTCCGGGCAGAGGATCTACTACCTGTCTTTGGAGTTCTACATGGGACGGACGCTACAGAACACCATGGTGAATCTGGCCTTGGAGAATGCCTGCGATGAGGCCACCTACCAGGTGTGGGAGCATGAGCCTTAAGTATTGGGGGGTTCCTCTGAGGGGCCTTGGCACTGACTACTGCCACCTGTCCCCCAGCTGGGCCTGGACATGGAGGAGCTGGAGGAAATCGAGGAGGATGCAGGGCTGGGCAATGGAGGCCTGGGCCGGCTGGCAGGTGGGCAGCTTGGGGGGTAGGGGTGGGGGGCAGAGGTTTTTTTTACCTGGGTCCCTGACATCTACCTCCCTGCACACCCCTAGCCTGCTTTCTGGACTCCATGGCAACACTAGGCCTGGCTGCCTATGGCTACGGGATCCGCTATGAGTTTGGGATTTTTAATCAGAAGATCAGTGGGGGCTGGCAGGTGAGCAGGCTGACCTCGTGGAGAGGTTCCCTTTTGGTCATCCATCATGGGATGGGTCCAGAACCAGGCCCGGCCTCTGAGGAAAGCATCCTTGCCCTCCCCCTTGCCCTAAAGCCTGCTGGTGACTTGGGGAGTGTTTGAGAAGTACCCACGTGCCACATGGAGAAGTATCATGACCAGGCGCCGCCTCCCCAGGTTACTGCTCCTGTCCTGGCCCACCACCTGCCTGAGTGGCTGGGTCTGATGCTGCCTTCCTTTCCCGGTGCAGATGGAGGAGGCTGATGACTGGCTTCGCTATGGCAACCCCTGGGAGAAGGCCCGTCCTGAGTTCACGCTGCCCGTGCACTTCTATGGCCGTGTGGAGCACACTAGCCAGGGGGCCAAGTGGGTGGATACCCAGGTGAGGATGAGGAAGGGTTGGCAGAGGAGAAAGCTCCTGCCGAAGAGCCCTGAGGCCACTGGATTCAGTGCTGTTTTACAACCGAAGCCATGGAGGCTCAGAGATGATAAGTGACTTATACTATACAAGGTCACACAGCCAGAACAAGGAGAGGTTGGAGTAAGGGTCACAGGGGCCAGACCAAGTTCAAAGCCTAAAAGTAGAGAGACTGTCCCTATTCCACCAGTGTCTCTTTCCTATCCTGGCTCCTCTTCAGTCCATCAAAGGACTAGCACAGCCTGGCCTGGTGGTACACACCTGTAATCCCAGCACTTGGGAGGCTGAGGCAGGAGTGTCACTGTGAGTTTGAGGCTAGTCTGGGCTCCATAGTGAATTCAAGGCCATCCTGAATATATAGTGAGACCCTATCTCAAAACAAACACAAACAAATCAACTATCACAATGACTTCACTCTCCACAGCATGTCTGACCTCGGGGCTTGATGAAAGCAAGATAAATAGCCTATAAAGGAGACTGGAGGGAATTAAGGCTTCCTGACTTGTAATTGACTTGTTCAAGGTCACACAGCACATGAAAAGGAACCTAAAGCCAAACCAGGCATCCAGATCCCTGTTCAGATCATCTTTGAGTGGCTGCCTCTTCAGCCTCCACGTGGGCTACATAGAGTCTCTAGATTTTCAGAACTGGGCATTATTTTCACTCTCATCAGGCTCAGGCCCATTGGCAGCCTGGCACATGCTGCTCTGGCTAAAAGGCCAGAGACCTGGCTCTTTCTGGCTGCAGCTTCCATACTATTCCTCATATGGATAGGGCAGGGAGGCTGATGCTTGTTGGTTGTGGGAGGTAGGGCCAGCATTAGTCACTGCTGATTAGTCTTTGTCAACCAGACAGAAGATCTCTGGCCAGATTTGACCTCTGTGACCTCTTCAATTTGAGCTGGGCTCCTCCAGCCTCTTAGGAGTCTAAAGTGTCTCTGTAATGGGTGTGGTGGCACATACCTGTAATCCCAGCACTCAGGAGGCTGAGGCAGGAGTGTCACTGAATTTGAGACCAGCCTGGTCTACCTAGTGTTTTTGTTGTTATTGTTTTGGTATGGGGGATCAAACTGGGGACCTTAGTGCTTCTGAGGTGGTGGAACCACTGAGATAAATCCCCAGCCCTACATAGTGAGTTTAAGGCCAGCCTGAACTACACAGTGAGATCCTGTCTCCAAAATAATAATAATGTTTTCTCTTGCTTTTGCCCATCCCTGATTGGAGGCTTCGCCCCATTCCTGCAGAGTGAGCCCCACCTAGGGTTCTGGGGTTGTAGCTCTGTTTATCTCCACAATCCTCATGACAGTCTGAACAAGGCAGAAGTTAGAGGTGTCTGGGGAGATGTCAGAGATGTTCTCTTTTTATAGATGAGGTTCAGAGGTTACACAGTTTATTTAGTGTTGGGCCTAGAGGTTGGGAGTTGGCAGGATTTGGGAACAGAGTCGAGTTTTCAGTCCTACAGGTGAAGAACCCCATTTAACAAATGAAGCAGGTGCCTAGGGCTGCCCCCGAGGCAGCTCGTCCCAGCTCCTGACTTGAGGTGTCCCTCACAGGTGGTATTGGCCATGCCTTATGACACACCTGTGCCTGGCTACCGAAACAATGTTGTCAACACCATGCGCCTCTGGTCTGCCAAAGCACCCAACGACTTCAACCTCAAAGACTGTGAGTTCATCTGTGCATAGTCAGAAGCCTTGCCCACCCCTTCCTGGCCACGCTCAGTCCCAGCTTGACCTGTCCCCCTTTGCCCCTCAGTCAATGTTGGTGGCTACATCCAGGCTGTGCTGGACCGAAATCTGGCCGAGAACATCTCTCGTGTCCTGTACCCCAACGATAACGTGCGTCACCCTTGGGAGAGGGATCAGGGGAGATGCTGCTGCTGCCTTCCTCACACCGGGGTTGATGGCTGGCCCTGTGTGCCCTGTTCCTCTGCCCCGAGCCCTTTGAGTGGGAGGACATTTGTGTCCTAGGAAGGGAGAGTAGGGGAGGGCGGTTTGGAGGAGCTGTTGTGACACCCGTAATACTCTTGGTCCTTTCGTGCCCCCACTCGTGACACCATCCCCAGCCACTATTACTTGTGGAGCAAAGACCCCTGGGCCTTAGGGGGTGTAGTTTAGGGAGCTATGTCTTAGTGTTGGTGGGGTCTGTCCTGGCAGTCTAAGGCCATGCCTCTGGCACATGGGCTCCACCTGCCTTGCACTGTCCCCAGTTCTTTGAGGGGAAGGAGCTGCGGCTGAAGCAAGAGTACTTCGTAGTAGCCGCCACCCTCCAGGACATCATCCGGCGGTTTAAGTCCTCCAAGTTTGGCTGCCGTGATCCTGTGCGCACAAACTTCGACGCCTTCCCAGATAAGGTACCCTGCCTGGGATCTTCAGTCCACCTGGCTGTCCCCATGAGCTCCTCAGACTGCAGATCAGCCACAGGCCCTCTGGGGGCCTCCAAAAGGGCAAAGGAGAGTCTTCGTAGCACTTGGTTTGGGGCCCAATCTGACTCCTAGCCTCTCCCACACAGGTGGCCATCCAGCTCAATGACACTCACCCATCCTTGGCTATCCCTGAGCTGATGAGGATTCTTGTTGATCTGGAGCATTTGGACTGGGATAAGGTGAGTTTTGGGGGTGTGCATACACATACCCTGTCTCAGCCACTCTGCATGAGGATCCTTCCCAGTTTGGAGAGTGGGAGGGTGAAGTGAACCAGTAATGTGAGGCCTGGGGTGGCAGTGCTGGAACCTGGCTCTTCAGTGCCAGGCCCTGTGTGCTGCAGTGTAGACAGCCTAGGGCTCAGGCACAGCATCTGACTCCCCACCCTATGTGCCAGGCCTGGGACATAACTGTCAAGACCTGTGCCTACACCAACCATACAGTGCTGCCCGAGGCCCTGGAGCGCTGGCCTGTGCACCTTGTGGAGACACTGCTGCCCCGGCACCTGCAGATCATCTATGAGATCAACCAGCGCTTCCTGAACGTGAGCTGGGGAGGTGGTGCACCAGTGGGTGAGTGGCCAGCCAGGATCTGGGGCCTTCAGCGTAGGGACAGCTCTGAGCAGAGCCTTGGGTGATCAGGGCTGGGGACCAGGGTTTTTTGGCTCTGGTGCTAGTTCTGGGCTCTTCTGGGGCACAGCGGGTGGCAGCTACGTTCCCTGGAGACATGGACCGTCTGCGGCGGATGTCACTGGTAGAGGAAGGTGCGGTGAAGCGTATCAACATGGCGCACCTGTGCATTGCCGGCTCGCATGCAGTCAATGGCGTGGCTCGCATTCACTCTGAAATCCTTAAGAAGACCATGTGAGCCTGTTCTCCAGACCTACCCCTCCCCAGGTCCCCACACCACCCAGCTTCCTTTAGCCAGCCCCACCCACATGTGGTGCCGGCTTCAAGTACAATCCTGTCCTCAGGTGACCTCCTCTTACAGGACCTCTACCTCTCAGAGGTCTGCATCCCCCATTGAAGCCCCTTGCAGGAAGAACTAGGTTCTTGCAGGGGTAAGTGGTGACCCTCATCCCACTCCATCTTGTAGCTTTAAGGACTTCTATGAGCTGGAGCCTCATAAATTCCAGAATAAGACCAATGGCATCACCCCTCGGCGCTGGCTGGTTCTGTGTAATCCTGGGCTGGCAGAGGTTATTGCTGAGGTAAGAGCCAGTAAAATACCACTGGTCACAGCAGGGACCACTTGGGTATGATTGTTTAGGTACAAGGACTCCAGCTGAGGGCTGAAATCTGTCCTGTCCCGTGTTCCCCAAGCTGCATGCAGCCTTTTCATTTTTTGCAGTACCGGGGGATTGAACTCAGAACCTCGCACTTGTGAGGTGGGCTGTGGAACCACTGAGCTAAATCCCCGGCCCCGCGGCCTTTTCTTGCACGCATGTGTCTTCTGGGCTAAGCGGGGCTTTGGCTCCAGAGGCCAGCCCACTGGAGGTCATGGTCTAACAAGGGAGGGGTCATCAGTGGGTCACATCTGTAATGAGACTGCAAGGGGGCAGATGTCTGGTAGAGGAGATCAAGGCCTTGCCAACAGGAGGACAAGGCCAGAAGCCAGGGAGGTCTGCTGGGGTTGGGTGAGGCCAGACACCAGAGTTGAGGTGGGATGAGAGCGAGGTATATGTGAGGCCCCAGAGCACTCTGCTAGCCGGCAGGGCCCAGCTGACCTGGAAGGGCACCTCCTTGTGTCTGGGGAAGGGAGACAGAGGGAATGGGCTTGACCGAGAGCCGCCTTCCCGCAGCGCATCGGGGAGGAGTACATCTCAGACCTGGACCAGCTGCGCGAGCTGCTCTCCTACGTGGATGATGAGGCCTTTATCAGGGATGTGGCCAAAGTGAAGCAGGTGGGAAGCACTGTGGTCCAGCGTGGGACATGTGGGCCAGGGCTGGTGTTGTGGAAAGTATGGGAAGGGCCGGGTGTCTGGGTCAGAAGTGGCAGATGGAGCCACCTCTCCTGCCAGTACCAGGCCCGGAGCTGGGCTGAGAGACAAATCTGCCCTGGCTGGGAGCGCGCTGACAGTGACCGGCCATGTCTGCCTGAGTGAAGGCAGCAGTGAGCCTCCTGCCGTCTACCTTCCTGGGCCTGGTGGGAAGGAAGCAGGGAGGACGGTAGGGTTTCTTGAAGCGGAAAACTGTTGGTGAGCCTTCTCCTTCCCCTCCCCACAGGAAAACAAGCTGAAGTTCTCTGCATACCTGGAGAGAGAATACAAAGTCCACATCAACCCCAACTCACTGTTCGATGTCCAGGTGAAACGGATCCATGAATACAAACGCCAGCTCCTCAACTGCCTCCACATCATCACCCTATACAACCGTGAGTGGCAGGATCGCCACCCGCCTCCGATTCCCCTCTGCATATCTCCCAGGGTGCCACACCTTGCCTGATCCATAGCTCCTTGGACCTGGTGACAACTCCTAGGATGGAACTAGCTCTGTTCCATAGATCGGAAAACTGAGGCTCAGAGAGGGGGAAGTGATAGCCACAGGACAAATGATGGCCCAAATTCAGGCCTACAGTCTCCCAGCATGGCCCTGGCTGTCAGGGTACCGTTAGGAGCTCCTAGGCGGGGGGAAAGAGCTGGCCAATTCCATCCCTCTCTTCTCCACAGGCATCAAGAAGGAGCCTAACAAGTTTGTTGTCCCACGGACTGTGATGATTGGAGGCAAGGTGAGAAGCTGGGCCCACACTGGGGCTCTGGGCTGCTGCCACCCAGGTGGAATGAGGCTGGCAGAGCTGTAGGATGGACTGTGTATGTGGTTAAGGCCTCAGTGCTGACCCTAGACTGCCCTGCAGGCCGCTCCCGGCTACCACATGGCCAAGATGATCATCAGACTCATCACTGCCATTGGGGATGTGGTGAACCACGACCCGGTGGTGGGAGACCGCCTCCGTGTGATCTTCCTGGAGAACTACCGCGTCTCGCTGGCTGAAAAAGGTGGGTGCTGCCTCGTGGACCTCAGAGGCTCTGATAGGTTAGGCCCCAGGAGAGGTGCTAGAAAACCTTCCTGGGTAAGGATGTCCCATGATGGAGTTTCAGGCAGTACAGAGTAAGATTTGGGGGAGCTGGACACAGGATCCGAGCTAGAACCCCAGTATTGAAGAATCAGTGAGAGCCAGGTATGTAGTTCAGCTGTGCAGCACCTGACTCGTAAGGACGAGCCCGAGTTTGACTCCTGGTACGAAAAACAAACAAAACAAGAAAAACAAGAGGTGGAAGGATGAGGCTGGCAAGGGAGAGACTTGGTTGGTGAGGATTGGAGGGTTGGGGTGGAGAGGACTCTGCCTCTGGCTATGCCCAGGGCTGGTCTAACCTGACTAGGGTGGGACTGTACCCCAAGTTGACCTTGTCCCCCTTCTGCTGCCCTCCAGTGATCCCGGCTGCTGACCTCTCTGAGCAGATCTCCACGGCGGGCACTGAGGCATCAGGCACTGGCAACATGAAGTTCATGCTCAACGGGGCTCTGACCATTGGCACCATGGATGGGGCCAATGTAGAGATGGCAGAAGAGGCAGGAGAGGAGAACTTCTTCATCTTTGGCATGCAGGTGGAGGATGTGGAAAGGCTTGACCAGAGAGGGTATGACAGCAAGGGTGCCACAGTTCATGGCTCATGGGCAGGAGGACGAAGGCATGGCTGCTGGACAAAGGATGGGCATGAGGCATGTGTGGAATGGCTGGCCCAGGCTGTGCAAGGTCTTAGCTGTGGCTGGAAAACTATTTATTTATTTGTTTAATTTTGGTGGGGCTGGGGATTGAACCCAGAGTTTCATGTATGCTAGGCAAGTGTTCTACCACTAAGTCTGCATCCTTTTCCCTCAGAAAAGCTTAGGGTGAGCTTATAGCAAATATATTTACAGGAGGGGAAAAGAAAAGTAACACAGAATGAAAGGAAAGAGCTATGCATGCTGGTACATGCCTGTAATTCTAGCACTTGGGAGGCTGAGGCAGGAGGATTGCAAGTCTGAGGCCAGCCTGGGATACATAGATAGTCTCAGGCCAGCCTAGACTACAGAGTGAGACTCTGTCTCAATAACAAAAAACAGAACTGAAAGAAAAGAAAGAAAACTATATCAGTCTTGAGAGAAAATATTTTTCAGAATTGGAGGTAAAGGGCTGGGGATTTTAGTTCAGTGGTTCTGCCACCTGCTTCACAAGCGCAAAGGCCTGAGTTCAATCCCTGGTACCATAAATCAATCAATCAATCAATCAATCAATCAATCGTTAGGGACCAGAGATGTACTCAGTGGTTCCACTGCCTGCCTCACAAGCACAAGGGCCCAAATTCGATTCCTGGTACAAAAAACAAACAAACAAACAAATAAATCATTAGTTTCTGGGAAACCATGACAAAAAGGAAAAAGAAGTATAGTAGTTCCCAGTGAGCTTGTGGTCAGAAACTCACTTCTTCAGTGGAGACAGTCTCCTGACATTACTGTTTTTGAACTGGACTGTGAAGCTCAGGTCGGCCTGGAGCTTGCTGTGTAGCTGTGTAGCTTGCTGCGGGCTGATCTCACACTTGTAATCCTCCTGCCTCAGCCTCCTGAGTGCTGGGATTACAGCCATGTGCTACTACTTTCCAGCAAAACTTTTTTTTTTTTTTTTTTGGTTTTTTGAGATGGGGTCTCACTATGTAGTTGAGACTGACCTGGAACTCACTGTGTAGCTCAGGCTGGTCTCGAACTCACAGCGATCCTCCTGCCTCAGTCTCCCGAGTGCTGAGATTACAGGTGTGCACCACCATGCCTGGCTAGCAGCAAAATTTATTTTAAAATGTGATTATCACAAAAAGAATATGTGCTCACAAAACAAGAAAGAATAAAATGCAAATGCAAGGTCCTGAGTTCAATCCTTGGTACCAAAAAAAAAAAAAAAAAAAAAAAAAAAAGAAGAAGGAATAAAATAATTGTCATCCAGGGCTGGTGATTTAGCTCAGTGGTGTCACTGCCTGCCTCACAAGCACAATATCCCAAGATTGATCCCCAGTACCAAAAATCAAAACAAAACAAAACTGTCATCCATATTCTCACAGCAGGTTTAAAGCCAGTTTTTAAAATGTGTATCTATATATGTTTGTATACATATATAAAAGTAGTTTTTAAATGTTGGAAATGATATATGTAGAATTTTGGATTTCAGTATCTTCTTTAACACTGGAGAGACATTTTCTACGTTATTAGGCTTTTGTTGTTTTTTTTTTTTCAGACAGGGTTTCACTATGTAGTTTAGGCTGGCCTTGAACTCTCTACATAGACCAGGCTGGGATCCTGCCTTAGCCTTCTGAGTACTGGGATTAGAGGTGTGTGCCACCACACCCAGCAGAATTTTTACTTTTGAGACAGGTTCTCTCTAAGTCACCAAGCTGCCTAGTCTGAGTACAAATTTGTGATCCTCTTGCCTCAGCCTTCCAAAGACCTGGGATTACAGATGTGTGCCTCCATGCCTAGCTTCTATGTCATTAGTTTTCAAAAATATTTTAAATATTATATAGTATTAGCCGGACATGGTGGTGCACGCCTGTAATTCCAGCACTTGGGAGGCTGAGGCAGGAGGATCACTGTGAGTTCGAGACCAGCCTGGGCTACACAGTGAGTTCCAGGTCAGTGTCAACTATATAGTGAGACCCTGTCTCAAAAAACAAAAAAATAAAAAACAAAAACAAAACCAACCCTCTCATATATAGGAAGTATTGCATTCTATGGGCATGCCATATTATTATTATTATTAATAGTAGCAATAATATTAATATTTGTAGTACTGAGGATTGAATCCAAGTCCTTACATTTATCTACATCCTCAGCTTTTTTTTTTTTTTTTACAGTAAGGGGGATGAAACTCAGGACCTTGTTCTTATGAGGCCAGCACAACCCACTGAGCTAAATCCCTAGCCTATTAGCCTTTTTAAATTTTTATTTTGAGACAAGGTCTTGCTAAATCACTAACTTGTCCAGGCTGGGGTTGAATTTGTGATCTTCCTGGTTCAGCCTCCCAATGTAATGGGATTGTAGGTGTGTGCCACCATGCCTGGCTTAACCATGCCATTTTGTTTAGCCAATTCCATAATGTCTGGTCATTAAGATTGATATAGCCTGTTAGTCTAAATATTACTGCAATGAGCAGCCTTTTACATTTATGTCTATAACTCTGATTATTTCCTTAAAAGAATTAGGATGAGGATATTATTATGGAGGGGGGTCAAGAATGAGTTTATTTTCTTATTATTTTTTTGTGTGATACTGCTAATCAAACTGAAGGGACGTTCTACCACTGAGCTACATTCCTAACCTTTCTTTTGAGATTGGATCTTACTTAATTAGGCTATCCTAGATCTCATGATCTGCCTGCCTCAGCCTCCAGCGCAGCTAGGATTACAGGCATATACCACTGTGCCCAGCCAAGTACGAGTTTTTGAGGCTCTGACACAGATTGCCAAATTGTTTCCCCGAAAGTTGGTATCATTATGCTCCCAGCAATGGCTCCAGAGAGCTGGCATTCAGGGCTGAAAGGAACTTCCATGCGCCTTGACTAGAAAGTGCAGACTGTCCTTTGGGGAAGAGGAAACCATGAGATATTTTGAGCAAAGTCTCATGTGTTCGGGCCAAGGCTTTAGAATAATTGTGGCTGCAGGATGGAGACTGGGCTGTAAGGGCCAGGTGGGGACCAGCGTGGGGGCTGACACCATAATGCAGAGAAGTTACCTGAGGCTGAGCAGCTCAGGGGACTGGGCTCAGAGACATTGAGGAGGCTTTGGTTTTCCATTGGAAGGCGACATGGAGTGAAGAGATCAGGCTGGCATGGTGGACGGGTCTTGGTGGACGGGTCGTGCTGCCTTAGAAGGTGGAGACAAGTTGGGTATGGTGACAAATGCTTGTAATTCCAGAGGCTGAGGCAGAAGGGTCACAAGCATGAGGCTAGCCTGGGCCATATAGTGAGTTTGAGGCCTTACTGGCCTGCCTAGACTACACAGTGACACTCTCAAAAAACAAACCATGAGCCGGGGATTTAGCTCCATGGTTCCACTGCCTGCCTTGTAAGCTCAAGGTCGGAGTTTGTTCTCTGGTACCAAAACCAAAACCAAAACCAAAAACCAAAATAAACCAACAAGTAGAGGCAAGTTGGTACCAGGCCTGTGATGAGCTTGGTTGCATTGTCTGAGCTTAAGACCTGCCTCAGGATGTGTCGGTTGCTGCTTCCTGGAGCCAAAAGCGAGGCCAGGGATGGTTTTGGGACAGTGAGGGAGAAAAGATATTCATGGTGGTTTTGGTGATGCTAGGAATGGAACCGAAGGCCTTGTGCACGTTAGGCAAACATCCCACCGCTGAGCTACGTCCCAGCCCTAGCCTGTCATGGAGGAGACCTGGTGTTGGTGGTGGTGGTGGTGGTAGTGTGTGTAAGAGCCCTTGTTTGGGGGCTTTGGTTTTAAGGCTTACCTTTTTGTCTCCTCCAGGCTTGAGTTTCTTCACCCACAAAGTGGGTGAGGAAAAGCTGAGCAGGGATGGCGGGGGGCTGTCAGGGAATCGGCCTCCAGAGCAGGGGTGGGTAGCAGCTCCAGAGAGGGCAGCAGCAGGCTGAGGCCTGGGAAGCTTGATCTCTGGAGCTGATTGAGGTCTGCCCCGGCAGGTATAATGCGCAGGAATACTATGACCGCATTCCTGAACTTCGGCAGATCATTGAGCAGCTGAGCAGCGGCTTCTTCTCCCCCAAACAGCCAGACTTGTTCAAGGACATCGTCAACATGCTCATGCACCATGACCGGTGAGCTGCCTGGCCAGGCTGATACGTAGCTGGGGCTGCTGGGCTGAGCAGGGCTCTGGCAGGGTTGGGGATGTTGGACAGGGTCTTGCAGAGTTGCTGCCAGGTTCCTTTGAGATTTTTTTTGTTATTTTTTTTTTGGTACCAGGGATTGACTCAGGACCTTGTACCTGCAAGGCAGGCACGGTGCCACTGAGCTAAATTCCTGGCTCTGTTTGTTTTTTGAGACAGGGTCTTGCTCAGACTGGCCTTGAACTCACTATGGAGCACAGGCTGGCCTCAAACTTGTGGCAATCCTCCTGCCTCGGCCTCTTGAGGGCTGGGATCATAGGTGTTCACTACCATGCTTGGCTCATCAGCACCTTTGGAAGCAACATCACCCTCCAGGTCCCCAGATGTCCACTGGGACAGAATGGGGTTGGCTCTTGACCTTGTAGAGATTTCCTTTCCTCTCTAGGTTTAAAGTTTTTGCAGATTATGAAGAATACATTAAATGCCAGGAGAGAGTCAGTGCTCTGTACAAGGTGGGTTCCTGGGCCAGGGGCTGACAGGGCTTTGGTAGCCCTGGTTAGAATGAGGCAGAAAGTGGGGGTCTTGCTGGCAGAGTGAACGCAGAGCTCCCCTTTGGCTGTAGAACCCGAGGGAGTGGACTCGGATGGTCATCCGGAACATAGCCACCTCGGGCAAGTTCTCCAGCGACCGCACCATTGCCCAGTATGCCCGGGAGATCTGGGGCGTAGAGCCATCTCGACAGCGTCTGCCAGCCCCTGATGAGAAGATCTGAGCTTCCAGACCAGACCCCAAATCTGCCCTTGAGTCTGTTTGCAGCCTTCTGGGCCAGCCCCAGCTCCTCATCCAGAGGCTGGGTGACTGGCGTTAGGTCTCTAAGCCCCATCCTGGAACCCTCATTTCCCAGCCTGTAGGTACCAGTGTCCAGCGTGACCAAGGATATTGCCCTCTTCTTGGCCTTGGGCTCCCTGTTCCTTTTATTTATGGGGTCTGACCAAATGCACCCACTCCCCAATAAACTGATTCGCCTTCGGAGCCTCCTTTTCTCTGTTGGGAAATATTTTTAGCTTTAGGCAGGCTCAACAGCTGCTGCACAATCACCATCTTATCTCCGCCCCCCCCCAGGTGCGTTCTGGGGGAGGTGTAACATGGAGGCGGGGCCTACGGCCCAGCCCCTTTCCGGGCGTCACCCTCCACTCATCTCTTCCCAGTGCTGTGTCCATACTAGGTCAGCGGCCAGCCTGGCTGGTCGGGGGTGGGGCGTCCGCCTGGGTGGGACCCAGCGGGCCGGGAGCCGGGACTTGGGCCGAGTCTCCGGGATCCATGCTCTCGGAGGCGGGACCTATGGATGCTCTGCTCGGAGCCTTTGCGGCGCCGCCCTTAGCTCCGCCCCACTGCGGCGTTTTAGGGTCTCTTAGCAGGTGGCTAATGTTCGGTCCAAAGTCGAGGGAGTGTTAGAGCGGGGAGCAATCACAGACTGTTTAGGCTAGGCCATTGCCACCCCTTCATTATGGGGACACCGAGGCCCTGTTTCTGGATCTCATAACCGGGACTGAAGTGCCTACGCGTGTAGGGGGTGTCTTGTCACCCCCCCACGAGGCAGGGAGGGGCAAGCCTCAGAAGGGAGGTTTGGGGCCAGTGGTTTCACAGTGAGTGTATCCGAACCCAAACGGCCGGAAACTGTTTACCAGTCCCCCAGGTCTGGCCGGTGAGGACCCCAACTGCCTTCGCCTGCCACTCCCAAGTTCTTCCTTGCCAGGGCGCACGCCTCTAGGCTCCCAGCTGTGCAGAACCCAACAGTCGCTAGCAGCCGCCCCCCTCCTGAGGCCCACGGGTGTGAACTGGGGTTCCCGGCCCCACCCCCAGACACCGAGGCCGCGGCTCCAGGTAGCACACAGGCCACGCTCCTCCGAAACTCCCATCTCGTCCCAGCCCCTCCCCCAGGCTTTACCCAGGACCCTGGGCCCCCGCGCCCCGACCTCCACCGCGCAGGTGCCCGCGCCGCCCGCAGGAGCTCCCTCCAGGTAATGCTGCCACTAGCCAACAGCTCACTGCTGCCAGGTACTTTCTGTGAAACAATATATGTTCAACTGCTTCAAAATTTTATTGCATTTTGTCCATGTTGCTTTACAAAAAACAAATGGAAAGTAGAAAAAAAAAGAAAGTGCTCATTTTAGAGATTTTAGAAAGCATAATGTTTCTATGCTCAATGTACTTGCTTCCAAGATAGGATTTCGTTGCTAATCTTTGGCCTCAGTTGATTGGATGTGCTTTGGACTCAGTAGATCTACCATGGACTTAATGTAAAGAAAAGGAAAAAGAAAGAGAATTCTATGGTGTAAATATTTAATTGGAATGTAGAAATGTTTTTGACCTCTCAGATTCAGGACCACTACTAGCTGAATGGTGTCTTGTGCAGAATAGAACATGGGACTGTCTTTTTCCTGGGCTAAATACAGTCCTGCACTAAGGTACATGGCTCAATTTCAGTACCCATTTGATTCTTGGCCAAATGCCCTTATGTAGTGCACAACCTGGCCAATTGTACCTTGCTTCCCAGAATGGAACAAGCACTTATGTAAGTCTCTTGCTCCACTTTTATGCAGTGAATTTTATACACAATTTCATACTTATAAAAGCAGAGGACTGCCTATATTCAATAATTTCTGTTCACCTACTCTTAAAATTGGAAGATATATCCCATATGTGAGACATTCTTGGGAAAGCTGAGAGACCACTCATGGGAGGGGCCCATCCTCGGCGCCCCTGGCTTTTCCCTGCCATGTCTCAGCCGGGGCCTCGCCTGCAATATCCCATTTAACAGATGGGGAAATTGAGGCTCAGAGAGGCCAAGTGACTTTCAAGGTCACGCAGCGAGGAAGCAGCAGAACCAGGCAGGGATGGCTCTGGATTTTTCCGAGAAAAAGTCGGTCAAAGAACTCCGGAGAAAAGCTCTCTTTCTTCTACAACAGGGGACCAAGTGTAGTGGCAGGGCACCTTTCCATGGGGCAAGGCTTTGCTAGGGTGGAGAAGTGAGGGGAAACCAGGGCGAGCCCTAGACCGCGAACGAAGGGGGAGGGGCGGCGTAATGGGCGTGTGCGCACCCACGGGGGTATGTGCATGGGTGGGAGAGTGTGCATGCATGGTGATGCACTGTTTTGCATATGTGCACACATGTGCATATGTCAGCGCCCCCGTGGCCGTGGAACTAGAGCTGGCCTGGCTCAAGTGAACAGCAGGTTCTCGAGGCCACCTCGTCCACGGGTTTGCATTGGGGTAGATGAGCTGCGTGTGTGTGCCTGGGGGCTCCTCGGTGCAGGTGTGTCCTGGGCGCGGGTGCCATTGTCTGCTGCAGAGCATAGGGCGAATGCCTGTGCCTTTCAGCGTGTGTGTGAGGGCGCTTTTGTATATAACTTAGGTTCCAGGCGTCTGGAAAATAACTTGGGTGTGGAATGGGTGTCTGACCCAGCAGGAGTACACCTGGCTTCACCAGGGACCTGAGTTGCTGGAGGTGTCCTGCCCGAAATGGTCACCCCCACGGCTCTAGCGCCCCCTTCTGGGCACCCTATTCTGTTCATGCACAATTTACTTCTGTAGCCTGGGGGTCTGAGTCAGAAGTCCCGGGTTAAGGAAGATGGCCCTGTGGAAGGGCTTATCCTGGACCCCAGGGCCTTTTGAGGAGGTGGTTTAGGAGCGGGCGGTTCCCATGCTCAGGCTTCCCGTTGACGCCTCAAGGGCTCACCCCCCCACCCCAGGAATGTTCCTCTACTCCAGCCCGCCTCCCAGGGCAGGACTCTGGGGGCTGCCGTTGCCACGCCCTTTCTGGAGAAGGCCCTGGGGGCAGGACGCCTGGGTTCTCTCTTCCCCCTCCCATCCCAGGGAGAAATTCCTCCGAGGTCCCCTCAGGCTCTGGGTTCCCAAAATAACCCTGCGGGGGAAGGGAGGCAGCGGAGAGAGGGAAGCGGGAGGGGCGCAGAGCCGAACTGCGGGGCGCTGCAGGTGCCTCGGGGAGCTGGGGCAAGCCGCAGAGGGCCTGTGGGGGCGGGGCTGGGGCACCAGCCTACCGCTGGGAGTCCTGGCTTGTCCCCATCCTTGCGGATCTCTTCAGCCCTTCCTCAACTCGCAGGGTGGGCCGGAAGCCTCTTGCGGATCGGTTTCCCAACTAGCGGGTTGCACCATCCTGGGCAGGGCCGTTGAACCCCGCAAGTAGCCACTGCGGGCAACTCCGCCCCTGGCCGCCAGAGGGCGTGCCTCCCTCCGCCCTGTTTCTGCCCGTGGGCCGCGCCCCCGGCCAGTGCCTCCAGACTGCTCTCTGCCTCTCTTAAGGACAGGGCTCAGTTTCATACCAGAGAGAGGCTCCCGGAGCGCTGCTTAGGTCCAGCACACCCTGGCCGGCTGCCATGGCAAGCACACTGGACCTGGACAAGGGCTGCACGGTGGAAGAGCTGCTCCGGGGCTGCATCGAAGCCTTTGGTGAGTGAAGGGTACACTGAACATGGGCCCCTGCCTCTCTGGAAGATCCCTGGCTTCGTGTCCTGCAGCCTCCTTGAGGAAAGCCCTTCTTTGTGGCAGGGCAGAGAGGTGCCTACGCTCCATCAGATCGCCAAGCCCCTTGCCCAGTTTGTCCACGCCTGTGGTAAAGCGAGAGTAGGGGTCCCAGCCTCTAGGACGAAGGGTTTTATCTGTCTCCCCGGGAATCCGGAGGAACTCTATCTCTGGCGTGGGAACTGTTTCCGGCCGATGAGGGGTAGCTTATCTGGTGAAGGGGTGCCCCTTTCCGTAGTACTCAGGAAATGACCTCTAGATTCCTGACCCCGGGGAACCTTCCGCCCCATCTGGTTCCCCTCCGGACCAGGACCAGCTCTGACGCTGTCAGGCCCCCAGCAACTTGGATTCTGCCCTACCCCTGGCCCACCCTACCTTTCCTTTACCATTTATCTCTGTTTGGTTTTTTTTTTTTAACCTCCTGGTTTCAGTGCCCAGGGAAAGCTGGAGGTGGGCAGGGGTAAGAGTACAGCCTCAGGGGCTCTGATGCCTGGAGGGCTGCGGGCTAGGGGCTAGGTTATGGCAATCTGAGCTTCTGGACCAGGGGTCACCCTGCTTCCTGCTTCTCTTTGACTCTTGGGAGTTAGATGACTCTGGGAAGGTGAGGGACCCACAGCTGGTTCGTATGTTCCTCATGATGCATCCTTGGTATATCCCGTCCTCTGAGCTGGCAGCAAAACTGCTCCACATATATCCTTCTCAGGTCTGCTTGGGCTCTGTGGTCAGTATCCACCAGTGAGCCCCACTGCCCAGCCTGGGCGCAGATGTGCATGCCCCTCCTAGAGCCCAGAATTCAGGCCTCCCTCCCATCTCTGCTGGAGGCTCAGCTTCCTTTCCTACTTAGGCTCTGGCCTAGGTCTTGTCCTGGCTCTCCCTAGGGTCTAGATCTGCCCTTACTCCCAATAAGTCTGTCCTGCCCTCAGCCTCCTGGAGCTCCTCTATTCCTCTACCCAACCCACACCTCTTCAAAGCTGAGGCCTCACCTACCACATCCTTCCAGAGCCAGGATTCCTCAGTTCCCATCCTGTTTGGCAAAGCCTGGTCCCTGCATTCCCTTGCTAGAGTTAGGCACCATCCTTGTTTTCCTTGATTCTCTTCCACCTACCAACAATCCCGGAAGGACAACTCCAATTCACTGCAAGTGAAAACATGCCACCTGGTCAGGTAAGTCCTCCTCTTGCTCCCTTCTCTGAAGCTTCAGACTGGCTGGAGGAGTGGACACAGTGCCACTAGGTCTTGTGGGTTTGAATTTGGAATTGCGGGGCTGCTTCAGGCTGCCTGTTCCTCCGTCCCAGCTTTCCTTCTCTTGTCTGCCCTGTAGGGTTGGAGGTCTC